AAAAACTGAATGGGAAAAACTGATAAAAATTCTGATTACACTCCAAATTCTTCTGAAACAAAAGTCAAAGCCTGGTCAAGAAAAGACCACTTGGAATCACCTAAACCCTTATACACATTTCCCTACCCAATCTCTGTGAGAAGAGGCAGGGTTGAGAGCAAAGTACACAATTCCCCGGTCCCTCCCATGGCCCAGGAGAAACAGAGCAGCATTTTCTTGTGACTTTCTACCTCATCTGTGGGATGCCTGGTGGACTGCTCTCTTTATCACATGACTCAGAACTCAGACAGGGACAAGTGCAGGGCTCAGGGCTCAGGTGAAGAAACTGTGGACAGAAGTGGTGGGCACCACTGTGTGTGACCACTGCATGAAGGAAAAGTGATCAGGAAATACACAGCACACCAAGGCCCTAAAGAAGCTTTCATGGGACCCTTAGGATTACCAGCTCATTTCTAAACAGCCATGGATTCTGGGGAAACTGGGAGGGGAAGCACACACTTAGGCACCTCCATGCCCAGGAAAGATAAAAGCCTTCACCCAGGCAAACCTCAGTCCTCAGAGAAAGCCCTGACAACTAGTGAATGGGTTTCACATTAGAATTCAAAGACTGTGCAGGTGAGTGTTTAATTCAAAGGCTGCATTTCAACATAAAATGGCAAGGTACCCAAAGGAGGAGGTAAACATGAGCCATTCAAAAAAATAAAAATCTTCAGAAACCTCCCCAGCAGAAAAAGACATCAGAATGACAGAACGTCAACTTTCTAATGTCTGCCTTAAAAAGGCAGCTTGGAGACTTGGGATGTCACTGTCCATCACGCTTACTATGACATGTGGCAGACTGTGTGCTGGTCAATTACATCTTGGTGGCAAAAGAAATTGTGCTGATGCTGCTTTTAGAACTATGCTGTCTCATGTGGATCACAGTAGCCACAGTGACTCTATAAACTTAGATTCAGTTAAATTTTACAATGAACATTTTATTGGCACTTGGTTCTTTCCCATGTCTAATCTCACAGGCCATGTGTAGCTAACAGGTGCCACATGGGACAGCTCAGATACAAATCTCTTCAACATGGCAGAAGATTCTGTTGGCCAGTGTTGTTCTAAATGATTCTCAAGGTCTTTCTAGGAGCTGCAGCTCAGAACACAAACCTCACCAGCCACTGGAGGCCTCAGGTCCTTCCCCAGATGGTGTAGCTGTTGTGGCCTAGAATATGCTCTGGAAGGCTCCTGGGATGATGAGAATGGGGCTGCATGGACATATATAGAACAGAAGAACAGGGTTCCAGCAACCTCTGACATTATGCCCTGCAGCCGAATGGAGCCTTTGTAAATCCACACCTGTGGCATCTCACCTGGATCACAGTGTCCAGATGTGTCATACTGTCCCAGGACTATTTTATTTTCTGAATATGAAATTATCTGTTTGTCTTGTTCCCTCAAGTTTGTGTCTGCATCACAGGAGCAATCATTATCTGCTCTCTACAGAATCCCTCTGGTGACTGATGCAATAGAATGAGCTCCATCAGCAAGAGAGATGGTTTTCCAGGAAGCTGCCTTGGTACCATCTCTGACACCATGAGATGCAATACCAATAATCAACCAGTAGATGTCAGAACAGACCACAACTTGCAAAGAGAAGCTTGCTCTTGGAAATGCTAGGTAAGTAAAAGAATGATACTATCCTTTACCTTCAGTGAGATCCCCAGGCTTGAATTGGGACTCTGTGTGGCCAGGAGCATGTGGAGGACCTGCCTGGGGGCTGAGGTGTGGGCAAACACTCTCTGTGTTGGGGCTTTGAGACTGGATGCCCAGCCCTGCGTTTGCACTTCTCCACCTAGTCACTAGGGCCACTTCTTTAGTATTAGTAAAACTGCCCCCATTCAAATGTTGACGCCTTAACTAATTGTTTGTGTGCTTGCAGAAATGGTCATAAGAAGGAATGGAGGTTAAAGAAGGTCATCCAGGTGAGGCTGATCCCACATGAATCATGTCCTTCTAAATAGAGGTCCAGAGAGCTCTCTGTCCAGGGAGCTCTGTCCATTTTTCTTAGGCCACAAAGAGAAGCTTGTGAGGACATACAAGAAGGGAGCCATAGAAAGAGAGCCTATGATAGAGGGGTCATCTGCTGCCCCTTGAATTTTGAACTCCAGTCTGCAGAACATTGAGAGGACATATCTTTACTATCTGAGCCACTGAGACCAGAGTGATGTGTCTCCCTATGACAGTCCCTGAAATGTGACTGGAGGCATGACAGGAAGGTGTGCCTTGTCCTTGGCACCTCTCTCTCTCTCTCTCTCTCTCTCTCTCTCTCTTGTTCTTTCTCTTCCCTCTTCCTGGCTTCCTGATGTGAGCAGCTCTGCCCTGCAACATAAGCCCTGCCATGCTGTTCTGCCTGCACACAGACCCCAGCCAAGGTGCCATAAAACCTCTGAAACCAAGAATCAAGATCAGCCTTTCCCCAGAAGGTTCTTGTGGAGGTGTTTGCTCACAGTGGTGGGCAGCTGATGAGTACACCCTGCACCTTGTTAAAGGCAACTTTTCCTCCTAGGTGATCAACTGGGGCACTCATGTGATTCACATGCCAAAGTGAATAATTCTAAACCCACAAGCACTTATTGTCAAAGGCATAGACAGATATCAGAATCACCAGGTGAGGAGGTACAGGAGGCTGAGAAAACATCTGCAGCCTGGACCTCTCTGGAGGATTGTGAGAATACAATATTATGCAGTCTTCTTCTTCTTCTTTTTTTTTTTTTTTGGTGCCAGGGATTGGACTCAGGTGCACTCAACCACTGAGCCACATCCCCAGCCCTATTTTTGAATTTTACTTAGAGACAGGGTCTCACTGAGATGCTTAGCACCTTGCTTTTTCTTGAGGCTGCTTTGAACTCACAATCCTCCAGGCTCAGCCTCCCAAGGCACTGGGATTACAGGCATGTGCTACCATGCCCAGCTTAAATTAGGCAGCTTTTATAGACAGAGGAGATATCAGCAGAATGACAAGGTTATGAGGTATAGGAGCTTAAGAGAACCACCTCCAGTCTGGAGCTACCTAAAGTACTCTGAGAATACAGAATTTACCTATATTGACAAATGAGTTCAGGATTATGGGGAGAAACAGAGATTCCCCTATTTCTAAGACCAATATCCCTAATAGCCAGACCTGCTAATTAATATCTGTAGTGTGAACTTCAATCCCTGTATTAACGTCAGTCCTGCTTTGAGTATCTGTTAGCTGTATAAATCGCATGTGATACCACTATGTGGAACCCCAACATACACTACTCTGCGTCGTTCAGGAAATAAGATGAGACACACTCTGGTCTGCTTTGATGAAGCTGAGGGGAAGGAAAGATGGTGAATACACAAAGAGGTACTCTCTCCCCTACTAGGCAATGCACTTTAGAGCCCGGCTGCCTCTGAGTAGTGCCGTCAGCAGGTGGAAGCAGCAGGAGGAGCAGCTGAGGCAGCCCAGCCTCACACTTCTGCTTTCTGGATCCTCTGATGCTGATTCTGGATGGGAGCTCATGTTGGAAAAAGTTTGCAGGATACATCAGGAAATTGGAGCTTTCCCTGCTTCCTATTGATATCAGTGTCAAATAACTAAGGCTCTGACTTTCCTGGTGGGACACTGTGATTCCGTCTCCTTAAGCTGTAGACCTGGATTGTGATTATCTATATTCAGATTTGGTGTTCCTTGGATTTACACACTGTAGCTCCTCCTCTGTATTCTTTAGTAATCAGATCAATGTCTTCAGAAAGAGAGGTCCCTTCTCTGCCAAAACGCCTCATTGATATCCTTGGATCTACAATTGTTTTTCTTCATTTATGGAGAATTTCTACTAAATTCTTCCTCTATTTATGAAGACTGTGTAATCTGGGTGTTACATCTGGTATCTGAGATTGGAAACATACAAACAAATATCCACATACTGAACCTTGTTATGAGAGAATGCATTTATAGACCAAGTACATCGGATCCCACTGTGCTGGAAAACTCCTCAAGTGTTGAAACTTCCTGCTTTAAAATAAAAGTAGCTGGGTGCCCAGGAGTTGTATGGGCACCCTTATGTCCATGCTGTGTCCTGACTGGAACTGAATTCTGCAGACTGTGACCACCAAAGTAGAAATCCTCGGGGAGTGGGCTGTACTCTGGGCACATGCAAATCCGCAGGGCTTGTCAGGGCTGGGCACAGATGCAGGACTAGCTCTTCTAACACATTCAGCAGAAATTCAGTGTCTGCCTGTTTCCCTGGGCATCACATATTTGCCCACAGAGTATGTTCTAATTTGGGGGGGGGGCAACAAATAGCCTCAGCCTTGCCCCCTCTGCATGGTCTGTTAGTTCCATCTCCTCCAACTTCAACACATTCTGAGCTTGCTAGATTCCATCTATGACAGGAACTGTCCATTAGGACACAATTTCTTCATATGCATCAGTGTTCTAGCTCCTTTTCTTGGTACCCATGAATATCACTGAGGCCAGGGCAGCTTCCTCTTTACTCTGATTCCCTGACACTGTGTTTCATTCAGGGAAAAACTAGGAAAATATGGGGAGCCACATCTATTTTAAAGAGTGTCACCTACCTGACCCAGCTCTCATGAACAGCCAAGCATATTTATTCCTCCATCTCTGTAGACTTGTTCCCACTGCTTCCATCAAAGCCATCCAAAATCAGGGATCTCTCTCTTCCCATCTGAACACTATGAGCTTCTGTCCTAGCTGCTCATTATTACACATGTCCATGCCTGCTGACCCTGGGTGCTCAGGTTCATGCTTCTGCTCGCTAGAGTCCCATAACTCAAGTAGCTGTCTTCAGAGATAGATATCCTTCCTCTATTAAGTCCTCATTGACACCCTTGAATGTCTTGTGATTCCTAAGTGTGAATTTCTTCCATCACCAAGTATCTATCAGTTCTTTAAAGAACCCAGTTCTAATGGATGTTTTAGGACTGCAGGACTCAAGCAGGGCAAGGGAGAAATATGTGTGCGTGAAGTCTCATTGGTCCTGAGGGTGCCCTTAATTGGGGTTAGTTGTACCTTTGACTCACTGTGGGCATCTAAGAAAGAAGGAAGGGAAGAGTACTCAGATGGATGAGGTTCCTATGTAAGGAACAGAGTCCAGGCATGGTGAGGGGGACACTCTATGAGCCACAAAGTGGAGATGGCCAAGAAGTGGTATCAGAGTGCAGCAGGTGTGTGGATGTGTGGGGAGGAGTGGAGACAACCTCCAGAACCCACATTTCTCTTCATTCCTTGCTGAACTCTTTTTCACTTGCTCACATGCTTCTTTATCTCTTTATCCTGCTTAAATCCAGAGGCCCTGTGGGCAGCCATTAATAACTCTGCTCCATTATGAATGAGAAGAGTTTGGACAAGATTAAAATATGCAGGTTTCCAGAACTTTGTAGATTCAAGGGTGTCAATGAGGAGCATTGAAGTTAGGGAACCTCCCCTTCTGAAGACTTTGATCTGATTACTATATAATATAGAGGAGGAGCTGTAATCTGTAAATCCAAGGAAGATTAAATGTGGATATAGATAATCACAAGCAGAAATAAGAAGGTCACTCTTATTCCTCTGATGGACAGAGACACCTCCTGACCTTGGATGACTTGGGTGTATGTAGAGGGACACAGCATTCATGAACAATCTCTTGCTTAGCTGGAGAAGCCAGTAAGAGTGAAGACAGATCCTGCTCATTCTTATAAATTATGACCTCCCCCCCAATATTTGCATTGATTTTCTCATTCACAGTAAGGGCACAAGGGAAATAGACCAAAGAGGAACTGGTCTCATTTCACTAATATCTGCATGTACTCAAAGAACCCTCATTTAACTTATTGCAGTTAATGTATTTCTGACATGACTGAAAGCCCCTGTCAGGATGAAATGGAGACCAAGAAAGCACATGGCCACCTTCAAGAGACCAAGTAATATTCTACATTCAGGCACAAGGGGGATGCTGTCCTTTGTTTCCCAAAAGGAGCACATTATCCACAGCCAAGTCCATGGTGACCTGTTTACTTTAAAGACACTTGGGCACCCTGGACCTTTGCTGAGTGACTGGCAGGAGCCTTCCCTGCATCTGTGCCCAGCCTGCCCAGCCCTGCTGGTGCTGGAGGTTTGGTCCAGTGGGGCCAAGGTGAGAGATGATTGATCCCGTAAGAGGTGGGGCCTGGTAGGAAAGGGTCAGGTCTGGAGCTGCTGCCCCTGGAAGCACAGTGCGGTTCTCACAAACTGAGGGCATCCTCAGCAGAGTGTGTTGTCATGAGGCCACACCACAAGCCTGGCCACTGCAATGTGCAGCTGGTTCCCTCTGCACGTTCACAGCACTGTGACACAGGGGCCTCCCCAGAGAATGAGTGGGACTGCCAAGCCTAGGACCCTCAGCCTTGAAAACCATCAGTTAAACCTTTTTATTACACAGTACTTGCTTAACTCAGATGTTTTGCTATAGCAACATATAAAGGACCAATATGTGCTTCTTGTTACTAAGTTTTTAGATGCAAATTTCCTTAATGAACTGCATTGGAAATTAAGAAACTCTATCTGAAATAATTGTGTCCGAAAGTTACTCTCAGATCTCATGGATACAAACTACTCAACAGTGTAAGATGCCAATTCTCATCCAGCAGGTGGTTCTGGAATTCTGCACTGGAACAGCTCTTAATGAGGCTGATGATGCTCTCCACCCTGAACCTTTTAAATAGGATGCAGGTCTCAATGATTTGCTTAGTGCCTCACTTTTGCTGAGGCTGGCTTTGAAATCATGACCTTCCTGACTCAGCATGGACTTAATCTCATTGCTTTACCTCCAATCACAGAAGACATGTTATTTATTCAAAGTCAGTCCACCCCCCATTGGCTCTTTCCACATAGATGCACCCAACAGAGAATTTGCATGCTGCTTCCAGGGGAGGACATTCCTGCAAGGTTTACATAAAAGCTCAGCTCTAACCTGGCCTTGACTCACCAGGACTCCTCAGCTCAGCTTCTCAAGATGAGGCTCCCTGCTCAGTTCCTGGGGCTGCTCCTGCTCTGGATCCCTGGTGAGCACAGAGGGGATGAGGAGAAGAAGGGGGAGGGGGGATGAGCTCAGTGCTTCCTACATCTGAGCTCTGTACATGTCAATTGTGTGGATGTCACTGCATAGGATAGGGCATGTGATGTTCAGATCCATGAAAGGGAGGACATTTCTAGAGGAAAACCAAATCATCTACTGGTGAAGACAGGGACATAAAAAGAGGAGAGTGGTGTGGTCAACCTCTATACAGGCATTGTACACATAAAACTCTATCTTATATGACATTGGGTATTTCTGGATAGAAACCCAATCTATGTACTCAAGAATACACAAATAATTTAATTGAGAAAGGAACAAAATAACTAAAAGGTTTCATAATATTATGAATAGACTTTCATTTCTGTCATTATTTCAGGGTCCATTGGGGACACTGTGATGACCCAGAGTCCGCTCTCCCTGTCTATCACCACTGGAAAGCCAGCCTCCATCTCCTGCAAGTCCAGTCAGAGCCTCCTACACAGTAATGGAAACACCTATTTGCGTTGGGTTGTGCACAAGCCAGGCCAGTCTCCACAGAGTCTAATATATAAGGTTTCCAACCAAAACACTGGGGTCCCAGACAGGTTCAGTGGCAGTGGGTCTGGGACAGATTTCACACTTAGAATCAGCAGGGTGGAGGCTAAGGATGCTGGGGTGTATTACTGCTTGCAAACCACAGAGAGTCCTCCCACAGTGGAGCAACCCTGAACAAAAACCTCCCTGCCTGAGTGGGCCAGCTGCCACCTGTGCTGCTTCTCTGGGCAGCAGCTCTACAAATTGTCAGAGAGAAAGAAACTGTAACTGGGTCCTCTAGACCTTGAGTGCCATGGCCACAGCTCAGTCACCACATATCAAGTTGCCACCAACTGCAAAAGCCCTGGCATGGCACCAGCAGAAGGGAGACCCTGAGGAATAGAGTTGGAGTGTTCCATGTTGAAATTAATTCAGCTAAAGAGGCCCTAAGAGCTATGCAAAAACACTGAGTTCTTCTGTCAAAATAAAGATGGAAAATATTTTCAGTATGAATCTAATCTTTATTTTCCACAGTATTTTTAATAAATAGGTATCGAATGTACTCATCCTGTTGTGTTCATTCATGCATAACAAAATTAGTAACACCCAGGGGTGCTGAGGGGTAAGGGTGGGTAGTACACTAATGAGATTGAAGTCAAATTGTCACCACCTTTTGTTAAGGTGTTAGAAATTTTGTATGTTATAATATACCCCAAATTAACAAAAATAGGGGGAAAAGGCTATCATATAAATAAAAAAAAATGAGAAACAAATAGAAATACTGTATTCGCAAAATAAACTAAAGAGAAAGGTGGTTGTAGTGGAGGAGATTCAGGAATTTAAAAGGCAGGAGGAAGAGAGAAAGCACAGAAGAATGGCCAAGGGAAACTCCTCCCTGTGTGTAATTTTGCTGAATGTAAATAGGTGAACATCCATTCAAAATGTGTAGATTGGCAAAATGCATTGAAATTGTGTATATACATGTTCATTTAATAATCTCACCTTAAATCTCAGAACAAGCAGAGCTTGATAGTAAAAACAAGAGAAAACATCACAAAAAGTAGTCATGCTACTTTTATGTATTATGTATCAGAAATATATATTTTTTCAAATTTGATTGGAGGGAAAAACAAAATTATACAATGATAATGGTATCTGTTCTCTAAGGTGATAAATGTTACAAACATACATGCACCAAAAATCAAGGCTCCAAACACATCTAAAAGTGAGGACTAATTTGAGGGACAGATAGACAACAATTAAATAACAGATGGGACCCCACTACTGTACTTTCAATAGTCCCTGGGACCCCCAGGCAGAGGAAAAGTCAGGAAACGGAGACCTGCATCAATGCTACCCACCTCATAGACATGTAGGCGGATTCCACCCACAATGACTTGCTGCATGATTGCTCAAGTGCACATGGAATGTTCCCCAAGATCCTGCATGTGTTAGGTCACAAAACACATCTCAATGACATTATAAAGATTTAGAAC